CAGCACAACAGTTTCAAAGCTGATAATAAATCAGCATATTATAATTATTTCTGAAGGATCATGTGACACTGAAGACTGCAGTAATGGCTGATGAAAATTCAGTGCTGTGTCACAGAAATAATTTTTATTTTAAAGTATATTAAAATAGGAAACCAGTGTTAGAAATTGCAATAATATTTCACAATATTACTGTTTTTTTCTGTATTTTTGATCATATAAATACAGCCTTGACGAGCATAAGAGACTCCATTAAAATAAAAAAAACAGAAATCTAACTGATCCCAGACTTTTGAATGGCAATGCACATCACATGATTCTTCAGAAATCATTCTAATATGCTGATGTATGTTTTGTATTTATAGCCCTGAAACACACCCCGACAGCACAAAGTCCCGTCAAAGGAGTATCAGTAGCATGACCTTGTTTCTCCCACTGAGAAAAGTCACATTCATTTCCATGCATGTGACTTCAGCTATTCACCAGGTGCCATTTCCAGCCTTACTAATGCTAGGGTGCAGTCAGACGGATGGTATAATCATTCCTAATACTTCTATAGATTGCATGGCGCACCGTGCGGAATGCAGAGAAGGAAATTATGTGTCACAGATTGCATTGTGCGGAGCCACTAAAGTCCCGATTGGTGCAAGACAGGCTCCATTGCAACTAATCGGACGCCTGTCTGCATTCAAGCTCGTTAGGTTGATCAAGTGCCCTCATCCGCTGTCACGTTTCGACGAGTCTCCTGCCAAACTTCAGGCGAAGAGTGAGGGAAAGAAAGCAGGAAAGCGAAGAGATGAAAAGAAAGTGAGCTTCTCAGCGGCCCCCAGTGAAAATGCAAATTGAGCAAATGATCTCTAAAGTCAGAAACTGGTATTTCAGCCCTGTTCTATTTGAAGAGAGGAATGAGAGTGTCTCTTTCTGATGGCACAGTCTGGACGTGAGCGAGTTTTTATGAGCCTAACTGTGGAGGAACTAACTGTGTACTGATGAAAGGAACGTGGCATTCAGATTTTTACAGCAGTGTGTGTTTGCTTCACAGGCGCTTGAGGGAAGCTGAAAGGATGGACAGATTTGAATGTTTTTGTAATAAAAATTGAAAGTTTTTAGAATTATTGGCCAGAGATAAATGATTCAAATGGTGATCTTTTTAAGTTGACTGTTGCATTTAAAGTCTGGCTTACAGAATGCATGCAGTAGCATATTAAAAGGAGTACTTCACCCAAACATAAAACTCATTGTTTATATGCAATCAATATGTCATCTATAAATATAGAGATATATGTATCGATATCTAGCGGAACTTTAGCATAAACTGATTACATATAGGTTTACAAAAATATTGAGGTTTTTTTATATATATGTATTTGCAATTTTTATTTAATTTTGGTTTTATACTTGGTAAAATATAATGAGCGAAAAGTTTATTTTTTTAAATATTTTTTTTTAAGATCCATAACCTTATTGAAAAGACCTGTATTAGATAGAACATGACTGTCACTGCTGCTTACACTTTGTCTCTGTAGTACCACATCCTGCTTCTATTTTTTCTGCCTCTTTCTCTCACTCCTTGTAAAAAGTTTAGAAAAATCTTGGCAAAAAACAGAACCTATCAGAAGTCATGTCTCGTTGTCGTGTCTCCGCCGTAGCTTGTGTTTTATTACTCATTAAGACACACAGACATCATCCTCACACTAATGAGAGACAAGCAGCCTCTCCATATCAACAGGGTCAGTTTGAGCGAGAAAGGTAGAAGATGATAAAGAAATGAAGCAGTATGGAGCCAAATAGAGTCATGTAGAGAAAAAGAAAGATTATTTTAAGAATGGGAAACAGCAAATGGGACGAGCAGGAAATGAAGGCAAAAGAGGATGAGCCAAAGAGACTAATGAAAGTGGCCTGAAGCATAGGGCAGAGAGCGGCACACAGAGACAAACGAGTGCACATTCTCTCAAAGCAGTAATGAGAGCGCAGAGAAATCACTACCACACACACTCCAGCATGGCTCACCACTCACTCCTATACCGTACATTACAGCCAACATTCATCTCAAACCTCTCATTTGCTCTGGATGACACAATGGGCTGCATCCTGTCCTATCCATGCTCAAAATCATAGACCTTCACACATTGCTTAGATAGGATATGAGATTGTTTACTATATAACACATTTTAAAAAGGTCAACACACATGATAGCATTCACACAGCATTAATCCTTACAGTTCTTGACTTATAAATATCATGCATAACCTATAGCTTCTAAATACAAGGCTAATATTACTATAATTGTTCATACACTACAGGTCAAAAATTTAGTCATTTAAGGATTTTTTTAAAAAGCAATTCTTTAATTCAGCAATGATGCATTAAATTGATCAAAAGTGACATTTATTTTGTTAGTAAAGATTTATTTTTCAAATAAATGTAGTTTTTAAACTTTCTATTCATTAAAGAATCATGGGGGGGGGGGTGTGCAACATAAGAAATTTAAGAAAATCTGAAGAAATTGATTGATCGTAAGAAATATTTCTTGAGCACCAAATCATATTAGAATGATTTCTTAAGGATCATGTGACATTGAAGACTGGAGTAATGGCAGCAGAAAATTCAACTTTGCCATATTCAATATAAATATATTGTTTTAAAATATTTAATATATTAAATTGTATTAATATTTTACAATATTACTATTTTTACTATATTTTTAATCAAATAAATGCAGCCTGGGTGAACATACTGTAAGAGACTGTAAGAGTAATTTTTATTTTTTTACTTTAGACTTTTGAACGGTAGTGTGCTTTTTCCCGAAATTAGACTTTTGTTTTCCATCAAAACAGTAAACATTAAAATGGGCCAAAATATCCCTTAGACCTGCATTGAAGAATGCACAATACTGTGTATAGAGACCTGAATATCATATCTGTGAGTAGACTTTTTTTTCTTGGGCCAAAGACATCACTTTGCAATTTGAAAGAAACGTCCTGGCAAGCACTTAACAACAGCCTAGCATCATGGACAAGAAGGCACTACTCTTAAGATAATGCAAAAATCTAGTTTTCTTTTGTTATCATGGTCTTATAGCATGATAAAGATGATTCAATGTGTTGAATGTCTGCATCTCTGCCTAAATTTGCAGCTTAGACCTAGAAACTATTATGAGGAGATACAAAAACAGCTCCAGTTGTTTATTTTCAGTGGGGCATTTGTTTGAGGACCGTCATGTCTGTGGGCTCCTTTATTGCGGTATTTTTGCTTAGCTGTTATCGCTGGCTCGTTTCTTTCCTCCCTTTCTTTCTCTCTCTCTCTCATTCTCCATCCTTTCTTGTTTGTAGAGATTGTCCTTGTTTAAAGCACTCATACATCACTCTCCCTTGCTCCTGTGCTGAAGTGAATGAGTGTGCTTTGCACCTTAGTGAGGCTCTGTTTGTAATGCTGGAGCTTTTTTTTGTTTGTTTTTTTGCTGCGTGGCTGTAATATGTTCTGTCATGAGAGATTCGAGACTGGTGCAGTAATCGTTGCTGATATGATGATAAAACCGCTCAGTCCAGGACCAACCAGGAACACTTGTAGCTTCTCAGCCATACTGCTCCATACAGCATTCATACAGGTCAAGGCAAGGTCAGATGAATATGGAAATGATTTTCTCTTTGCTTTTGTTCATATTTATTAATTTGCTTGTTTTTTTCCCTCTGCATCTCTCCATCCATATACCACTCTTATTCCTGTGTTTGTAAATGGGGGGTCCAAAGCTAAAGTGGAAAAAAAATTAAAGTTTCCACTTCAGAGTTTTAATAAATAAATAAATAAAACAATAATAATAATAATAATATAAAAAAAACTGAAAAGATAATTAACATTTATTTCTCATAATTGTGATTTTATCTTACATTTGCCACTACATTTATCACTTGCATTTGTGACTTTATATCTCACAATGTGACTTTTTCAAATTAGTATTTATTATTACAATTGTATTATTATTTATGATAATACTTTAATATTGGGACCGATTTTCACTCTTAACTAAAGCACATATTCTGCATGACCTTATTCTACATCCCAAATCTTACCCAAACTTAACAACTACCTTACTAACGATTAATCACTATTAACTATTACGCAGCAAATTAGGAGTTTGAGGCAAAAGTAATAGTTAATAGTTTAATAGTGAGAACTGTATCTTAAAATAAAGTGTGACCTCATTTATATTTATCTTATTTTGTGTTTTACAAAATCGCAAATGTGAGAAATAATATTGGACAATTCTGACTTTGTGTCTCATAATTGCTCATTTTATTTTTGGAAACAGGCTTCCAGTGAGGCCGTATTTGATCAATTTTCACTTTAAAATCAAAGTTTTAAGATTTTTCAAACAAAGAAAACTATTAATAATAACTGAATAAGATTCTGCATTATTTGTAGGTAACTAATCTAAAGGTGCCTGCCATTAGTCTTATTTTTTATATAATTTACGGTCAAATTGTTATGCTGATCATTTATAATTTATCATTTAAAATGTCTTAAATCAAAGCATTTTTGCTTGTGGTTTCAGACTTTTGAACTCCTCTCACAGTCTGGATGGCGGTAAGCGTGAGTAAGAGAAGGACGGTCAGAGGTTGCATCAGTCTGATCAGGTAGATGTGCTGAGGTAGTGAAGCAGTGCAGAGCATTAAGTCAGTATGACGGCTTCCCACAAGCCCCTGCGCCACATCACAGATCAGAGATTTAGTGCTGGAAAGGCTAGAAGAACAGCAGTGGCAATAAAAAGGGTGAGAGGTGACTATACTGAGGTGAGCGAGCGTCTACGTGTTCGCCTCTTTCATTTTTATCATGTTGTCATGCTGTCGGCTGCATCGCTCTCCATCTTCTTCTCTCATTTCTTTGATGACTTTAGTGCCGGCACGACCTGTCCTCAAAGAGCTGCTAACTTTTATAAACATTTTCATGAGAACCTGTTTTTTTTTCCTCCCCATCTCTCTCCCTCCCTCCCATCTCTCCTGCAGAAAACATGAAGGCACCTCTGCAAAGGTCACGGTCGCGGCAGAATATCAATTTCAACTCGACACGAGCACCCACTGCCAAGGAGCCTCATTACGAGAGCGAACCCCATCCGTCTGCAGCCCACAGGCCGACCCACCGGGCCGAGAGAGAGAAGGAAAAAGAGCAAACTCCGACGCTTTGCTCATCCAATGGTGACACGGACGTGGAGGCCTTGCTCGCACGCCTGCGTGCCCTGTGATGACATCACCGCCTCTCGGGTTTGACCTCTGTAGTCACTTCGGTGACACAGACACAAAAAAGAAACACGAAGCTCGCAGTCACCTTTTGCTAATAAATGCCGGCGGGTTGCGCACATACGCGCATAGGAAAAGTCTTAACAATTAACCTTTCCCATCCGTCGTCTCTGCCCTTTTACCTCCAACAACAGACTTGTTGTCCACAGAAGTGCGAGTCATTGTGCTGGACGGGTCCAGGATGAAAACTCGTCGCTGTTTTGTATTAAGCAGCTAATTACCGGATGGTTTAGAGTGACCTTTGGGCCAACCACTTGTCTTTTTTTATGTCGTAAACAGACCAATTATTACTCTTTAAAGGCTTCACGCTGCTCTTTAAGGCACTCATACATGCGTATTTTCACATACATAGATGTTTGAGCGATAGCAGTTCAAATTTGTCAAAACAAAAATTAGCTTCTTTAATGACATAGCTATATCTTAAATGTTTATTATAAACATAAATCACTTTTTTCAGTGTGAATATTCTTTACCTTTGTTTGTATTCATGTATATGTAATCAAATTAATCCTAAAAACAGTTTTAATATGCATGGACATCTTTATACTTATGAGGAATTACTCACTGTTTTCTATTTTTGAGATAAAAAATAATGTATTAGATGGGTTTCGTCCCCCTCAAGAGAGACGGTACTATGCAAGAGCAGCGGTTCTGTATTAGGAGAGCCGCTGACAGCACATCCCTGAGTGCCAGGAGTATTTGTACTGCTTAGCAAACCTCACTGATATAATGCACACTTCTTCTCTGCACATTTGTTCTTGGATCTGCTGCTTTTCCAAATAATATTTCTCTTTTTTTTTTAGACATTTGATTTCTTTGGTTTCTTTTTGTGTTTGTCTGTCTTGTTGTGTGCAGGTGTTTTCTCGTTGTATAATTGGCATGTTTTCACATTCCTCCTCATGATGTTTTCTGTTCTGCTATTCCTGATGTGATTTTCCTCTTTACTGCTCTCAATCAGGCGTGACATCGGAATGCGATTACCTGTGAAATCACATCTCTTTCTCTCTCTTTCTCTCTCTTTCTGGACTTACTCCCATCACCTTTTTTGATTCTTTGAAACAACATTCCTGTTATTGGATAGACATTATTGCGGTGACATCTTTTGGTGAAATGTTTCAAATAAAATAAGGAAAAGAAAAACGATGCAGAGAACTCAGTCTTTTGTTTGGCTTCAAAACAGATGAATGTCAATTCTTTTCTTTTTTTAATTTCGTTCCACTTACTCTCTCAGTCAGTTCCCCTCATTAAAAGGGTGCATATGTTCTCGTGCATCCTCTCATTCATTCAGAAATCTTATTTTATGCACGGTTACCTGAGAGTCCTGGAGAGATGAAAGCCTCTGCTACCCACAATCACACCGTTATTGTATTGTAAATAATAATGAATGCTGTTTCCAAAGGTGTCTGTTCCAGTTTCATTAATCTACTTGAAATGGGGGAGGTGGGTTTGCCCCTTCACCACAGTAGGATGCTGGTGTTATTTGGGAATGCTGGTCGTTAAAAGAATGATAGCAGGTAACTTGCTGCCTATCACATTCTTAGCCAGCATCATGTGAATGACTGAAATTGGCAGCAACTGCACATGGAATTCAAATGCTTGTCATGTAAAGTACAGGGAAGCTATTAAATCAAAGAAAACATGACCCTGACAAATAAAATTAAATAATCATTTTAGTTTGATACTACTTTTAATCAGAAATATTTTGACATGTACTTTAAAATTTTAAGTAAATTTTATTCATCAAAGAATCCTGAAAAATGTATTAGTTTACACAGCAATATTAACCAACAAAACATTGATAATTATAAGAAGTATTTCTGGGTACCAAATCAGCATATTAGAGTGATTTCTGAAGGATCACGTGACACCAAAGACTGGAATAATGATGCTGAAAATTCAGCTTTGCATCACAGAAATAAATTACATTTTAAAATATATTAAATCATTATTTAAAACTACAATAATATTTTACAATGTTGCTGTTTTTACTGTATTTTTGATCAAATAAATGGAGCCTTAGTGAGCGTAAAATATCAAAGTAAATAATCTTGCCAACCCCAAACTGTAGTGTACATAAATGTATCCTAAAATATTGATCTTGAAATTTAAAAAAAAAAGGTTCACTTGCATGTTATTTGTCCGCTATCCACTAGTACTGCTGAATTACCTTAGAACAAGTTCCCTTAGCAGGCTGCATATTTTTACCTACATTTGGTCTTACATGCTTATGATGCACTCCAATGCTTTCCAGATAGTTTGCTCACTATCTTTTGCAACTGAGCTCAAGTATTTTTAAATTGCCCTAAGCCACAGTTCGGATTCACAAAATAGATCACATAAAAGATAACATCGCCCAACGATAAAATTGAATGAGTCTGAAAAGAGGCCATATTGCTATTCTTTGAAACCAATAACCCAGAAAACAACATAATTGACAATAATCTCCACACCAAATCTCCATTTAAATACCCTGTGTACATGCACCACACTTTGCAGGTTAAAAACAGACCCCACGGTTACCAGAGGATAAAAGCCCATCACAACAGCAGGCCACGTCAGTGTGGTCGAATAGCTCTTTGTGCCGAAATGAAATCATATCAGTTTGCATCCATGTCCTAAGCCACAAAGTCACACGTCCACTTTTAAAAGAACATCGATTCCTCTCCTCCACGCTTTTTATTTGCGTTTAGTCGTCCAAGACGTCAGGCTCTTTGCAGGCGGTGTGTTGTAGTACTGCCCTTAGCGGGATCACAGCTCCGATCAGCACCACGGACAGCTCCAGCAAAAGCAATGCTAATGAAGCACGGCCTTCCTCATTCCCCTGTGTATTAGCATCAGACAGGAGCTCACTCTCACCATCTCCCCTCCAAATTATCCACTGCCGCTGCGAGCGTAACCCCGAGAGAGGATGTTCTGTGCTTCTGTGTCCCGTGTTCTTTGCTCTCTGCTTCTTTATTTTTTATGAACTGCCTCTTTCTCTCACTCATCTGCTCTCGCCCTACTCCAAAAAGACAGGAACACAAGAAATCACCCAATCCCGTTGCCTTTTTCCCAGCTTAATAGGACAAACCGGAGTGGCAGAGGATATGAAATTCTGCTCGATGTAGTTCTGCTCGAGTAGCGGCCAAAACTACTCCGTGAAGCAAACAAGAGCATTCCTTTCCTATTTAATGCCTGCAGTCAGCTGGCTTTCCACAGGACGACGGGAGATCAGAAGGGGTTAAAGGGTCACAGCCAAAACATTGGTTCTTCTTAAGACATTCTGCTTCGCGAACGAAGGTCAGGTGGGAGAGGTTAAGGCTTGTTTATGTAGATGCATGTGTGTGTCTTTTGTTAATTATGCTTCAAATGACTTGAAATGGCTTTTTTATTGTTGTTATTACAGTATGTACTTTTTTCCACTGTGTTTGTGTGCTTTTTACAATGACGGTTTCTATTATTCTCTCCGTTATCTCGGCTGTTGGATGTGAATCTACTTGACAGACGGTCCTCAATAACAATGTGAAGGTCTGGCTGTTCTCTAACAGTAGCAACCAAGACGAACACAGACTGTCCAACTAGAGAAAGAGAAACGGACATCTGTTGGTTTTTGAACATGCATTGATGCATCTCAAGCTGCCATCGCAAAGCCTTTCCTCCAGGCAATAACAAAAACAAGATCAGGAGATGGGGGGGGGTGCATTTTCTTTATTGAACAGTTGTGCGGTTATGTGTATAATTTAAAGGGAAACAAAGCATATTGTGTGGCAGATTGCAGTCTGCTCGGGTTTAATTGGAGATGGGGAGAGTAAGGCAGATGTTAGGCAGAGTTAAGACCGTTAAACTCTGATTACCAGGATGAATCCTCACCCGACACCTCTTCTAGCATACAGAGACCAGTCTATCTCCATCAGTCCATCCTGTGAGAAGACAAAAGTATTTTTATCAGTCCAACTCGAAAAAAGTTCTGTTTACAAAATGACATTTTGACAGTGAGCACTTCTGAGGATGAAAATAACTTGATTTGGCACAGTATGCAAAGAGATTCTGAGATTTGTTCATATATGCATGCTTGAAATGAGAAATTATTCTACATTTATTGATGAGCTGCAGATTATCTGTTCTTTCTTTCCTCACCAGGTGACAAAGTGTGTGTTTGTGTGCTTTAATTACAGCGGGGGTGGAGTGTGGTCGCCTCTTCATCCACTGCACTAACAGGAACTTCAGGTCAGGAAAACTGTGGAAATTACTCCTGGCAAAACTAAGTAGCTCACCTCTCTCAATTCACCAGATTAAGAGAGACTGCCCTCCAAAGTGGACTCTCCCTCCTCTTTCCAGGGTTCCCACGGGTCCTTGAAATCCTTGAAAGTTTGTGAATCTGAAAAAAAAAATTCAAGGCCCTGGAAAGTTTTTGAAAATAAGCATACATAGATACAGGTCCTTGAAAGTGCTTGAATTTATTTTATGCAAGAAGTTTTCTGGGAAAAAATCCATATTATTCCGCTAATGTGTTATTTCGCCAACACTTCGTGGCCATATTAGCTTGCTTGATTTACGTTAGTTAGGCGCATTTACGTGTTACGTTAAGTGTTTCCCCGCGTGAGGTACTTTGTGTTGTACGTTGCCATGACGTTCACGTGTGCACGTATCTACTACAATGGTACCTCAACATTTCACACACACACACACACACACACACACAGCTAGTAATTTGATGCTATAAAAATGGGGCGTGTCGTTATGGTTGATTGGATCTGCGGGAGTTTGGGCAGGAGTTTGATACCGTGGCTCCACCACCTCACGACACTACTCAGCGATCCCACGGATCCTTGAAATCCTTGAAAGTTTGTGAATCTGAAAAAAAAATTTCAAGGCACTGGAAAGTTTTTGAAAATAAGCATACATAGATACAGGTCCTTGAAAGTGCTTGAATTTATTTTATGCAAGAAGTTTTCTGGGAAAAAATCCATATTATTCCGCTAATGTGTTATTTCGCCAACACTTCGTGGCCATATTAGCTTGCTTGATTTACGTTAGTTAGGCGCATTTACGTGTTACGTTAAGTGTTTCCCCGCGTGAGGTACTTTGTGTTGTACGTTGCCATGACGTTCACGTGTGCACGTATCTACTACAATGGTACCTCAACATTTCACACACACACACACACACACACACACCGTTAAACATTGCAAAAATAGGCTGAAACGTGATGCCTGGAAAATGCAAGTTTCAAGATATTTGGCTCACCAAAGAAGATTACAAAGAATGGCATGCCAGAGATGAAAACTGTAACAATGTATCTTACAAGGTAACACAATGTAAACTTGCTCTCACTTGAAATATGTGCCCACATTAACATGGTGGCCGCGGGTTCTTAAAAAGTCTAAAAATGTTTTAAATAAAGTTTTCCTAATAAAAGGCCTTAAAAAGTCTTATGTCTTAAATTCAGATTTGATGGGTCTTAAATATTATCGGTCCCAGTTCTGCACAAATTTCCCTAGTCTGACGGACCCAGTGGCTGTTTAAAGGGGTCATCGGATGCAAAATTCACTTTACAAGTTGTTTGAGTATAAATGTGTGTTGAAAGTGTGTGTACACATCCACCCTATAATGATAAAAATCCACCCAGTGTTTTTTTTTTTTAAATCCCTATTTTAAAATCCCCTTTCTCAAATCAGGCTATTCTGAGATTCCTGTCAGAATGACGTAGTTCTGCACAGGCCCCTCCCACGATAGTTGATCGACAAGGCCGTCTTACCTTAGACCCGCCCTGAGTGAGTTTAGAGCTGTCCGCCATTGTGTCGACTCCGGTGCAGGGGAAGACGAGAATGTCTCAGATTTGTTGTTGGATGTAAGAATGAATATAGCAGTCGTCATTTACTCCCAACATCTGAGCCGATGAAGACACAGAGGATTAACGCTACTTTAGTTTCTGATTGCGGGAATGGGAATGTGCCGATCCCGATCTACCTAAATGTGTCTATGTTCACGCGAATCATTCGTGATCCAGCTTCATCTACAGAAGAAGTGAGTGAAAGGGTTTTTTATGAATCTTTGCAAATCGCCTTTCCTAATAATGTGCTAGTTAGCAAGTTTTGCGGATGACGTTTACA